AATGACTAATGTGTTTTTTTTATTTATTCATTCGTTTATTTAGCCAGTGTGAGTCCATCTGTGAGCAGAGTTTCAACTAAAATGCTGTTTAGGAACGACCAAATTCAAAGAACTTGTAGAGACATAAATATTTTGCTGAAAATGAACATTACAACTAAAATATGAACAAATTCAATGTTTCAGCTGGCTAAATAGATTGTTGCCGACCCCACCGAGAATCGAACCAGCATCAGCTGAGGGGAAAGCAAAACTTAACTCAAATGATCTTGCCACTGGACTAACAGAACCCACATGGTGGTGGTACATGTTGTTGTACAGGAGTTTTATTAGAGCGGCTGTGGGCAGATATTCGCTAAGAGAAACTTTTTTATTTCGGGATATATTCAGACTTTGTCATGTAGCAAGTTATATTTATCTTGTTTAATTGGAGCATAGAACATAGCATTAACGACTGTAAACTAGTAACAGCCGTAATTCATGTGGGTCAGGTCAGTTTGCGATAAAGTTGAAAACAACAACGGAAGTCAGTGGGCTAGGCTGAGTTTGCGTGAATGGGCGGGGCTGACTCTGGTGCAGCTCCACCTTATGGTGCAGCTCCGCCTTTGTAGTTCTGCAGCGAGCACCCTCTCAATTTTTCCACTCTGACATCAAATACTTTATGCAAATTTGCATGAAGGTGTGGCTTCAAGGCTGCTTCGTGTGCGATTGCTAATTCTCAATCTGCTCGGGTGTTAAACTGTGTTTAAACATGATAATGTCTAATCTGTTCAAGTGTCAGTCACTGTTCTGAAGAGTATTTCTCAAGTTTTTTCAAGTTCGGTGAAGAAAAAAACAATCCAGATTTTGCAGCCACATCTTTGACATTTTAATGCTATGTCAAAATAAAACATTTGCTGTAGCCGTGCTCCATACTAGTGGTTTAAACTCTATATTTAATATTTTATGTGCTAAAAAGTCGTAGAAACAACCCTGTTTACCAATAAATCACAATACTTTTTATTTATGAGTTTATAGACTCAAAAAAGCTTGAAATTTGTTAACTTGATCAATTTCATAAAAGCGTGACAATTTTCCTATGATTATTCATTATTCATTATTAATTCCGGTTTCCAAGCCAGCTTCTGTTTTAATGTCCAAAATGTAATCGTCACACAGTGTTGGGGAGTAACAGAATACATGTACCATCACATATTAGAATATTTAGAACAATTAATAGTAACTGTATTCCATTACAGTTGCTATTTTAAAACATGGTATTTAGAATGCAGTTACTTTTGTAGTATGATTGGAATACTTGTGTGTTTTCCACTTCCCACCCGAAAGATGAATAAATACATTTCAGGCAATGTGTGGCTCTCCATGTTATGTAGAATACACAGTCTGGCCGTGGTCCATTGCCACGCCTCTAAATCGTGGGGCAGGATCTTCGGTTCTTCACATGTCAAACAATGCGAAATACTCACTGCTACGAAATTCAGTCAACGGGGCAGTCCACCATACCCCGTCAAAGATGCAACTACATTCTTCTTTAAAATACACCTCTATTTGTTCTTGACTCAAAGAAAAACTCACGACTAAATAGTCCAAATTTGATGAAACCGTTTCAAACGAGCCTTCGCCATGTTTGTATCAGTAACGTCCCGCCCACCAACAAGGTGCTGGGATTGACCCACCAAACCAATAGAGCTTTATGATTGGACTGCTACAGAGCTTTGGCCATGGTTCCACCCACCTGGTTGACAGAGTGCTGTGATTGGCCCACCAAACCAATAGAGCGCTGTGATTGGACCGCTATAGATGTCGGTCAATTGGGCCATCCACCATTACATTGTGAAAGAACTACATAAAACATGAAAAAACATAAAATAATTAAAAAACATTTCTAAATAAACATGCTGTGAGTTGGTTAGCAGCTCCTGCAGAAAAGTTTCACTTTATTACAGAAACAGAAATATAATCTATCGACACTTTGATAAATAAAGTAACAAAATAATGAAATTGTTTCATTTATTTTTTTCCAGTCATAATGTTTAGCATTAATATTTCCTCTGTTTTCCTGCAGGAGTTGCAACCAACACATTTAAAAGACGTAAATGCTGTTTTTTAGGGAAGTATTCCAAGTATTTAAAGAGCAAGTCACCCTCTACCAGAGTATTACTCCACTCCCACTTCCTGTTTGAAAAATGCAACAAATGCTGTTGCCTAGCAGACCGAGAGGGCGGAGCCGCTAACAAATACACACACACACAGGCTCACAATGACATTGTGACATCATAATGTACCATCTAACATCATTGTGTACTTCTTAGCCAATAGTGATGGCAGATTTAAATTCAAATGCAGTGCAGAGTTTTTACCTGACAACAGCACAACACTGACAGTTTTAGGCAGAAAATTAAAATTTTAACTAAAATACACTAAAGTGCAAAACTATTGACTACACGTGTCTGCAGCCCGATTAGACACACATTTATGTAGTTTATCAACAAAAAATACTTGGTTTGGGGGTGACTTGCTCTTTAAAATTCAGTAGCAGGATTCAGCAAAGTAACGGAATACGTTACAAAATACATCTTATAGCAGGAATTCCGTATTCTGTAACTAAGTACATTTAAAAAGTATTCTCCCTAACGCTGTTGTCACATGACATTTCGGCTTCAATAAAGAATTTTTTCCTTTATTATAGAATTCTATATTTAATACATTATTTTAAAATCAATTTAAATGACTTGCATTAATTTGAGGAAACAAACAAAAACATATTTCAGTAAAATAAAAATACTTTATGAATAAACTTTAAATTCACACCTTCAATGCATTTTTATTTTTTTTTTACACAAGATATAGTGTAAAATGATTGTTTATATTTTATTCATGACTTGTTTGACTCTAGGGTGATACAGAAGTTTCGTGGCCTGGTCATTTAAATGTTGAAGCATGAAGATGACCTCATGCTTGGTCGATGACCTCTCAGCGTGATACAGTCTTTCAGCTTGAAGCCGCATCCTGATATGGATCATAATAGCTGTGCCAAGGCAGGGCCGGGGGCGTTCATGGTGGGATCATGGGTGTATGAGGAAGGGTCGCCATAGCAACTTGCTGCTGACATATAGAACATCAGGGTGCATAGAGAGTCTTGGAGATGCAGAACAAAGCAGGAAATTTGGTAAAACTAAAAGAATAGCAGCATCATGATTGTTTTGGACCAGGTCCACCTAAAAGCTGCTTCCTTAAAGAGGTCCTTCACTAAGAAACAATTTTTACTTATTGCTTTTAAAATAATTGGTCACTCTGAGTTTAACATGAATGCTGAACATGAAAATAGTCTCCTACACCTACCACCTATATTTACTTCTGAAAGAATATAGATGGAAATACGCTCAGTTCTATGGTGCGGTATGTGGGCCAAAATTAAGACTACTGCCCAGCAGCAGGAGGCTATATAAATTCTGAAGCAAACTACCAACCTGAATAATGATAAGCTGGCGCCGGTAACTGAGAGGCTGGCGCTGCTGACTGAGAAATAGCACCTTTACCGGCGTTACTAATAGATACGCTAGGGACTAGCAGCCCTTGGCTGGTCATTGACTGGTTCACACACTCCCTCTGCAGTCTATTAGCATGGATAGGCTAGTGTTAGCCTGGACGGGCTGGTGTTAGCATTGGAGAGGCTAGCCATTAGCGTGCCTAGGCTGGCCACTAGCTGGATTTCCTACCCCCTTGACGGACCATTAGCATGGATAGGCTGACATTAGCATCGGAGAGGCTAGCCATTAGCGTGCCTAGGCTGGCCACTAGCTGACTAGTGACTCTCCGAGACATGCTAATGGCTAACCTCACCTATGCTAATGCCAGCCTATCCATGTTTAAGGTCCGTCAAGGGCGTAGGAAATCCAGCTAGTGGCATGCCTAGGCACGCTAATGGCTAGCCTCTCCGATGCTAACGCCAGCCTATCCATGCTAATGGTCCATCGAGGAGGTAGGAAATCCATCTAGTGGCCAGCCTAGGCACGCTAATGGCAAGCCTCTCCAATGCTAACACCAGCCCATCCAGGCTAACTTTAGCCTATCCATGCTAATAGACAGCAGCGAGAGTGTGTGAACCAGTCAATGGCCAGCCGAGGGCTGCTAGTCCCTAGCGTATCTATTAGTAACGCTGGTAAATGTGCTATTCCTCAGTAAGAAGCGCCAGCCTCTCAGTTACTGGCGCCAGCTAATCATTAATCAGATCAGTAGTTTGCTTCGGAATTTACATAGCCTCCTGCTGCTGGGCAGTAGTCTTAATTTTGGCCCCCATACCGCGCCATACAGTTCAGAATAGTCGGACAGATCACACTGTTATCCATCTTGGCTCATGTGTTGTTGGTTTAGCGTCCAGGAGACAGGAGACAACATATCGACTAGTAGAAGCTAACAGTTAGCATTAGCATCTTCACCACACAGCAGAACCCCTCCAGGCTTTTGTTATTTGTGGAGATAAAACATCAAAGTTGCAGAGCAAACAGAGTCAGTGGTGGAGTTGTGTTGCTGTTAGCCAGTCAGAGGCAAGATGTCCAAATCTCAGAACACAAGACTCCAAATCCTGTTCTCTGACTCTTACATCCTCAAACAGGTTCACCTGACCTTTTCTCCCCAGAGTACGACTTACAAGGCATTCGCTCCTACTAGAGACCACTGTGAATGTGTTTACCAAAAGAGTGAAAGACCTCCTTAATAAAGACTTCAAAGAGTCTGCAGAAGTCAAAGAGAGAGAAAAAGCCTCACTTGATCTATTTTTAACATCTAACCCAAAGTTAAAAACAGCACAGTTACTTATCCGCTGCTTTAAACATAAAAATGTTCATTCACTCAATGCCATCGCCCCAAATTAAACCTCACTCATTATCCAAAATGCAGTAATGCACGTTTGTGCTGCGCAGCAAAGCTTTGTGAGACGTGTATCCGTTCAGATGAACACTGCGTTGGTGCTGTAAATGATATGGTTACCTCTGTGTGTGCAGGGAGAGCCTCTCTGCACGGGAAGGCCTCTTTGCAGATTGACCCGGTTCGCTCCGAGGACCAGGGCTGGTACGAGTGCAGGGTCCTGATGCTGGAGCAACAGTATGACACCTTCCACAACGGCAGCTGGGTGCACCTCACAGTCAACGGTGAGCCATCACACCCGCAATCTGTGTGTGTGTGTGTGTGTGTGTGTGTGTGTGTGAACTTGTTAAACCATCATTTCCCCTCATTTGCCCAGCAACTTCAACACACAATTTACAAACTTCACATTGCTGCTCACACACACCTCACTCTCTAGTCTGTGCCAGGCACAGCCATTCCTAACTTTTGATCAGTGCATTAGAACTGAACACCGTGTCACATCTCGGCGTGAAGCTGCTTTTCTTTTTAGAAACGCCTCGGGCAAAAGGGAGGGAGAGGCTGGTTAGAGCAGGATTGATTGTGGCTAGTTTCAGGCGGTTCCGGCAGAGATCGTCTGTGTCTGAGAGCTATCAAACTGATGACCGCGCGGAAAAAAAATGTGCACCTTTGCATTTCCCAGGAATACCCCGGTGGCTCAGAGAATCCTGTATGAAGTGTGCCTTCAGTGTTGCAGAGGAACACAGACAGTAATGCGTTCGTCCTTCACTCTTTTGAGCCCTCGCCGATAAAGCCGCTGCACATGAAAACTTGCTACAGACACAGTGAACAAACTGCAGCAACAATTCTACCGTGCTTTCTTTTACTAACTGAATTATATAAATGCTGTAAAAAAAACTGATCCTATGTGTTCTCAGAGAGACATTAAGAGAAAACTACCATCCACTGTTTTCTTTTAGGTGGGGGTGGGTCCGTGAACATCCAAGTGCAGCGTGAAACTCATGCATATTTGATTTGATCGTGCACGTGCTTCACTGCGACTGCAAATTTCCGACTTGAGTAATGATCACAATGCACGGTGTGTAAACTACTGAAGCATTTAGAAAGACCGTGGCACAGCATAATCACCGCAGAATGAAAGTGCTGATCTGTTTGAATGGGAGCTATCAATGCAGAACATAATGTTTTCTGTGGATTTGTGTGTCAGCGTGGAATCACGCCCTCCGCTCAGTATTCTGTGCGGACCACATCGGCATTGCACGTGGAGCTGAAGGAGGCTTCTGTCTGCTGGTTCATGTCGGATCTGGTGAAACGCCCTCAGTGTCACTCGCACGCTCGTGTAGCATTAGAGAACATCTGTGGGCGTGTTTCTGCTGCTGCTCCATATCCTCTCATGTCAGGCTTTTAACTAAAACCAGAAAATAATAATGATCTTGATTTTTTTGTGTGTGTGTGTGTGTGTATTGTGAGCAGCTGGTGATGGTGGTGGGCACAGCGTCTCAAAATAAAAATGTAACTGGCGAACATGAGCTAGCAGGTGTAACTAGCGAAGCACTTTGCTTTTATCTTCCGCTTTTACGTGATTCACTTTTTAACACCCGAGATCAGAGTCTAGACGTCTAACAGGAGGTAAGGCATTATCTTCCTCTAAATGGGCCTCTTTGAAGGAAGCAGGTGCCTTCGCTCAGACATTCATTTCCCGTGGCTGCCTGTATTTGCATACCCTCTTCCTTTGAGTTCCTGTTGGTCTGACTGGACTTCCTGCCAAGCGGACAGGGAATCCATGGCCCGCTCTGTGGCAGGTGTCAGATGGCGAGGCCTCGTGCCCGAGAAAGACACTGAGGCCACTCTCCCTCAGTCTCTCTTCTTTTTATTCCTCTTTTCTCATTCTGCAGCTTCTGAAGCATCAGCAGATTTTTTAACACCATTATAGGGAACATCTACAGTAAATATGGCGAATGAAACCTCTTCTCTGTGTCACGGCTGGTATTTGGGTCACGTTGACCCAACGCAGACCTAGATTTACATGTAATCTGCCTTTTCCGCTCAGATTTAATGGGGCGGAGGCTGAAAAACTTGAATTGCTGCCATCTTTTTTTGTGTTGCTCATGACATAAACAGTTTAATAGTTTTGTTATTGTTTATTTTGTTTTTATAGCACCATGAGATTTTACTTAAAGAACATTTTGCAAGTTTGAACAAATGCTTAGAGAAACAAAATAGGAACTTGTTCTAAATAATGACATATTTACCGGAGTATTACTCCACTCCCACTTCCTGTTTGAAAATTGCAACAAATGCTGTTGCCTGGCAGACCGAGTGGGCGGAGACGCTAACAAATACACACACACACAGGCTCATAGTGAATATTTAAAGAGCAAGTCACCCCCAAATAAACTTTTTTTTGCTGATAAACTAAATAAACGAGTGTCTAATCGTGCTGCAGACACACGTCGTCAATAATTTGGCACTTCAGTGCATCTTAGTTAAAATTTAAATATTCTGCCTAAAACTGGCAGTGTTGTGCCGTTGTCAGGTAAAAACTCTGCACTGTATTTTAATTTAAATCTCCCACCGCTACTGGCTAAGAGGTTTGCTATGATGTAAACTGGTACATTATGATGTCACAATGCTGTCGTGAGCCTGTGTGTGTGTATTTGTTAGCAGCTCCGCCTTCTCGGTCTGCCAGGCGACAGCATTTGTTGCATTTTTCAAACATGAAGTGAGAGTGGAGTTAGACTCTGGTAGGGGTTGACTTGCTCTTTAAAATCAGTAAAATGCCAAATTATTGACTACACATGCCTCCAGCACAGTTAAGCACTCATTTATATAGTATATCAGCAAAAAAAAATAAGTTGATTTGGGGGTGACTTGCTCTAGACCTAGACCTAGAGACCTAGGCCTCTTTAAAGAGCAAGTCACCTCCAAATCAACTTTTTTCCCCTGATAAGCTATATAAATGCGTGTGTAATCGTGCTGCAGACATGTGTAGTCAACAGTTTTGCACTTTAGTGCATTTTAGTGAAAATTTTCATTTTCTGCCTGAAACTGTCAGTGTTGTGCCGTTGTCTGGTAAAAACTGCACTGCATTTGAATTTAAATCAGCCATCGCTATTGGCTACGAGGTACCCTAGAACATTAGCTGGTACCATATGATGTCACAATTAGGGTTGTCACGGTATGAAAATTTAACCTCACGGTTATTGTGACCAAAATTATCACGGTTTTCGGTATTATCGCGGTATTTTTTAAACGGTGTTGCATATGTTCAGAAAGCATTGATAGTCCTGTTCTACACAAACTGAAATAGTTTTGAAAAGGTTTAACAGTGTTTATTAAACCTAAAATAACACAAAGCCTTAGCAAAAGTGCAACTTTTCACAAGTAAAGGAACAAATAGCTTATTTTTCTGGAACGTGTTACAGTAGTCAGTGCAGGTTTAAATAATACAAATCCAAACATTCAAAACATAAACAATATGTAAACAAATCAAAGAAACACCACTTGTTTTCTCATATACTTGTTTTCTTCATTATCAAAATGAAAATCTAAAACTCCAGTCCACACTTGACTTGAGCACTGTAGAAGTCAACCTTAAAAAATATGTATTTAAAATAAAAAAGCCACTTTAAACAAATTACTAAAATAACTACTACACTATGTAATCAAATCCAAATGTTCAAGTATAAATGGCATTGAATAAGTAAACAAATCAATGACAAGAAACTAATTGTATATTTCTCTTCATCATCAACAAATAAGATGCTTCATCCAGCAACAGGGTGTCCGTGACACGGTTTAACTGCTGGCAGAGGACGCTGCGGCTGCAGTATATAGTGACTCGTTGCATTCTCCCTCAACCAAAAGTCCTCACCTCATGCATTTAAGCTAAAATGCTCATGTTAACTTACCTTGCACTGGCTGTAGAGACGTGGGTGATGGTCACGCAGATGTGCCATTAGATTCGAAGTGTTGCTGCCTTTTGCAGACACTTGTTTCCTGCACGTTCTGCAAACGGGATAGCCGTCTTCTATTAACTGTCCCTCAGCATTTTCCAGAATTCCAAAATATGCCCATACTTCCGATTTAGTCTTCTTTGAGGGCTGATGGATGTCCTGGGCGCTGCCGTCTCCTCCTTCGGCCATTATTTCAGCTTCAAAGTTTTGGTGCCGTTGCAAACAAAAAAGTGCGTGTGCGCGCCGCGGGAACTTCAGCTGAAGCGACGGTGGCTGGTAAGGGTCACCGCGCTGAAACCGCGGCCACGGTAAACCCACCGAGATAATATAGTTTTTTCAAAATTGGACGGTTATTTTTATTGTCAACTTTTTTACCGGGGTTTACCGCTATACCGGTGACCGTGACAACCCTAGTCACAATGTCGTTGTGAGCCTGCGTGTGTGTGTGTATTTGTTAGCAGTTCCGCCCTTTTGGTCTGCTAGGCAACAGCATTTGTTGCATTTTTCAAACAAGAAGTGGGAGTTGAGTAAGAATCTGGTAGGGGTGACTTGCTCTTTAAGCAACAAGAAATCTGCATGTGTCTTTTATTTTGAAAGCTACCAGATGTTTACACTGCTCCCATGTTTGACACATTCTGGAAGAGTAGTGTGTACAAAAATAGACCTGAAGAGTAAATTTAGCCGATCGACACGACTCTGCGCTTTTAGAATGCATCCGAGATGCGCCGCTTGATGGCAGACGGATCTACACCCATCCATTGTTACGGTGGTTATTTGCTTCGTGGACATTATGTGATGAATATGCATCAAGTGGCAAGTTAGGGTCACTGAAGATAATTCTGTTTTAAGCATGTTTGATGTTAGTATTGAGAAAAACACTGTTGTCAGCAGAGGTTTTGAATTATTGACCTAAACATCAATAGTTTGATTTCGTGATTTTTCTCACTCTAGTAAGAAAAGTTGGATCAAAATACAGGATTGAAGTTTATATTCTCCAACAGATTACGCTAAAACATCTGAGACTAACGTAATCAATGGGAATCTATAGTTTTACCAGTCATTTAGAGGCTGAAAGTAAAGAATAAAATAGCTTGTGGAATAAAAAGTACCAAATCACTTTTAAGTGCTTGAACAAACACCATACGTTGTGTGGTCCACAGAAGGAGTCTGGCTTTTTCAAGCTCCCTTTAATTCGTATAATTGATGAAGAGCTGCGGTAAGTAGGGCAAGAATTTATTGCTCAGGTTGCTTTCCTGTAGCACAATTCCCAGGTTTCCCAAACCACGGTGACGCTCCTGTGTGATGAGCTGTAGCTGACGGTGTGAAACAAATCCCAGGTGGACCGCTGTACCTGCTGCTGTCACTGGCGGTGCCTTGTGTGTCGCCTACTTCCCGTCAGCTGATGCCAACTCTCCTGAGAAAGATCTAAAATAAGCTAAAAAATTAGACACCAGGTAAAGGAAGGGGTGCTCCGCGAGTCTTTTACTGAGGCAAAAATACCAAAACCACAGTGTTACAAGGCCCTATTGTGTTTTTATTTATTTTTTAATATGCATTCTATTGTTGCAGAGATTATGGTAAAAGACAAATAAAAGAAATTTACCAAGGTTTTCATTTTGGGGCTAATGCAGAAGAGAAAACTCTTGTTTGATCTGTTTGAGTTCAACACAATTGCAGGGTTTGAGATGGAGATTAAAGAGTGCCTCAAAAATTAAATAAACACACTTGGATGGACAGAAAAGTCCATATTTTGCATGTAAGCAACACAACATCCCATTGAGATTCACTGAGGCGTGTCTTCAAGCAGAAGAACAATGTCCTGGTGGACTAGCCGACCCCCGTTTAATGCCTAAACTGATGCTTTACGGGTGGTTTAACAGCCATTGACCAATCAGCCGCAGGAGCAAGGGACACATGAATGAGTCGTGCATTTAGTTATGATCTCCACTAATCTACTGTATCGTGTAATGCAACGAGTGTTTGGGAGTGAGAGGGCAGCGCGGACGGACAGATGTCTAAATGTGCTAATTGGGCAATTTGTTTATTCCATGCCAGGTGCTTGTGTGCAGTCGGAAGCGTGGCAGCTCCCAGCGGCAAGCACTGACCCATTTTCACCACCACAGCCATCTATTTTTTTCCTGTCTAACTGAACACAGTGCCACTATTTATAATCAGAGTAGCATGTTGAAAGGAAGCTGCAGATTTGTGGCCTAGAGGAGACGATTAGAAGCTCAATGGTGGCTTTTTAGAGAAGAACCATCAGGTGGAGGTGGGGAGACATCACCCAAGAGGTTTCTGTTGGTTTTAGACATCAACATATAAATATTGGACAATGGGTTTCCAGAGACTCCAATAACACATTTTTGAAAAAAAATGGGAGGTGGCCACCACCGCCATTTTGACCGTGTCACAGGTTCCGTCAAGCCCAGACAATTCCACAAAAGGGAAGAGAGGTGGAGTTGAGGGTGGGGCTGTAAGGCTGGGATCAACTGACAACAACCGGTTGAACTAGATACAAGCAAACCTGAAGCTAACCCAAAGCTAACGCAGAGGTGGGAGCTAAGCTAACGGAGGTAGCAACCTAGCTAGAACCGGAGTTAACTGTGCACAACACCAGAGCTTCTGAGTCAGAGATACGCCGGGCTGACCGCTGGGTAAAACCGGGTGGAAAACAGAGGTCTCCCGAGAGCTCCACAAGCTGATAGTCGGAACCCAGCTCCACCAACATGTTATATTTCAACCCTTTTTCTAAAGTGCAGCATTATGTTAAATGCACTGGGTTTTACCCTATTACATTTAAATTTCATGGTTAAACAGTACATGTTAAAATCTAAGCTCAGCTCGGCAGTGACCTAAAATACATAAATATAATTTTACTTACCGAAAAAAATGAAGTGGAGACTCCTTGGACGCTCTATTAGTGCAATTAATGCCACAGCAAGTCATTTTGTCCAGCAATTGCACAAAAAATATCCAAAAAAGAATACACACACACAGAGACTCAAAATCCCGGAGCAGTTTCCAAGCCAGACCGAGGCTGTACTGAGGCCTTTCCCCGGAGCTAGCTCTGTGGTCACGTGGGTCTGATGCTCATTAATTATACAGAATTTTAGGCTTTTAATACACTTAAACAGAAGAGTGAGAAAAAAATTCACCCCCCTCAGAGTTGTCATGAGTGTAAACTAGATCATTTAAACCAAAAACATGTTTTGGAACCAGGCTGTAAACATGTTTATTTCTGCTGTGAAATTGGTGTTTTTAACATGGGAGTCAATGAGGATTTGCTCGCTTCTGACACCAGCCCCTAGTGGATGAGGGTGGAACTGCAATTTCTGTCACTTCCGCGTTAGCCTCAAATTTTCACCCGCATTGTGGGGGCTTGGTTTTAGAAAACAGGCAACATGAAGGAGAAACTGTTATCAAGTCAGATCCAGCTGTGTTACGATGTGTAGCATCTGATCAGCAGCTCTGGGATCTACTTAGTCACCTCTTATGTTTGGGTACTTTTAGAAGTCTTCCATGTTACACAACTTTACTACAAGGTTGAATTGAGCAATGGCTGCAATTTTTATCCTCTGTTGAGCATGAATTCACTTTCTGATTTTATTAAAGCCATACTATGCAACTTTGTCATATTTTAAATCATTTTCTTGAGCTGATCAGTTTCAGATTTCAGCTGTTAAATTAAGGTGTTAAAAGGATGAACGCACAGCGAGGAGATAGGATTTAGTTTAGATTTTACCACTGAGAATTAATAACGGACACTAGAGGGCGATAAAAGTGAGCAAAACTGCCGAGTTTGCCTTTAACATAACTGCTCAGTCAAATATTATCGTTCACAATGGTTATAAGTGTTCAAAAACTTTTAACTTTCTAAGAGAAAAAATGTTGGGACTGAAAAGGAGTGATTGGTCTTAGTTTTTTTTTTATTAGTTTGGTGACATTAAAACACCAAATATATTTTATTTTGTTTGGAAAAGTGTAGCATCCAGAGGCGCGGCGTCCCGACAGGTAAGGCACACCACAAGGGGGCCACAGAGAGATGACTAATGGGCTCGACACACGGGAGGCGACAAACGACCGCGATCAGCGAAATTTGTCGCTGTCGCTTTTATTACCTGACACACGGGAGGCAATCCGTGGCAGCGGCCAGCGGCAAAGCCATCTACGCGTTCTGTTCCGTGGCGAAATCGAAACTTCCGTTGTTTTGTTTGGCTGTGTCAGGTTGGAGGGTATTAAGGTTATTTAAGCGGTTCAGAGTTAATAAAGCGGTAGAAATGATGTTTCACAAGGTGCTGCTAGAGTTATGTGAAATCTTACTTCTGATTTTACTTTATAAAACATAATAATAATCAACTTCTCCTCCATGTTTGCTCGGAGATGTACGGAGCATCCTGTCCGCTCATTGGTCAGTGAATTAAACCTCCGTTGATTGGTCCTCGTCCGAGCGACAGCGATGAAAAGTTGAAAATGTTTCAACTTTCTGGGATCGCGTCGCTGGGTCGCCCGTGCACGACACGTGCACGAGCGCAAAATTTCACATGCACGTTTTTCGCGTTTCGCTTGGTAGGAGGGAGACCCGCGATTATCGCTTTGTCGCGCATGTCTCATTGAAAATGAATGGAGGAGAGGCGATGTCGCCTCCCGTGTGTCGAGCCCATAACATTGAAGCAACAATAGTGAGAGGACGTTAAAGAAATACTTGGCAGTTTTGCTTGCTTTTAGCACCCCCTAGTGTCCATTATTACTTATCTGTTGTCAAACCGAAAATCGCTGTGCGTTCGTCTTTTTAACACCTTAATCAAACAGCTGAAATGTTGCCCTGTCTTCATTAGTTTCTACTGGAGCGGTTCATCACTAAATTGAGCACATCAGCTTTCTTCATCATCTAAAAAATGCAGGAAACGTGCTGGAAGCAGAATGCAGCGCCAGGTATGTCAGCTCCATTTGCTTATAAGTCCAACAATTTGCGGCCCTCCAGTCTGACGTTGCAAATGCAGAATTCTGGCCCCAGGGGGCGGTGGGGGTCTGAGTGACCTGTCATTCAACCTGTAAACGGTCATTTTAGCACATACTGGGTCAAGAAAATGATTTAAAAATATGAAAAAGTTGCAAAGTATGACTCTAAACTGTCATCTGAAACCTGAAACTTGTAAAGTCTTGATTAGATCTACATCTACAACTGATTAGCTTGGGCAATCAGACCTATCCAAGATGGCTGACTGAAATGACCTGACTCAAGTGGCCACAACAAAAGAACAACTTGTAATTGGTCAAACCAAATTAACTTGTCAAAATCAAAGGTTTACATCCTGATGTGTGAAATTCAAATCATGGGTCTGTGGTGTGCACGAGTGAAGAGTGTGTGACAGCATCCCTTTAGGTACAAATCCCGCAGGTGTTCTGTTACGCTAATCAACCAGCAAATGGCTAACTGAACGTAGCACAACCCTAACCCTAGCACAAGGATAGCTGAGCTGGGGTAAAGTTCTCAACATGTGATGGTCAAATAAGTCTTAAATCTTTGACCAAAAGGACAAAAAGTCCATCATTTAACAACACAAGATAATCTTATTTTAATTAACTTTAAGCTGCAATACAAAAGTGATGAATGCTGCTCATCTATCATCTTATGGATTTTCAAAACGGAAAGGATTGTTTTTAAAACAAAACACTAATCCCAGTAAAGAAAGAGCTCCTGCTACAAAAGAAACTACTGGTCTGGTGTTCATATAAGATGCTAACGGTTGCTTCCTGAACGAGTCATAAACGTGCACCAGACGTGCAACCATCAAGTTATAAAAATGTCAAATCAAGTTTCTGTTTTTGCAAAGTTTACAAAATGTGATTTTGTTTTATCTGTTTACCATTTGCTGAGGTTTCCCCTCCTTTCTCTTCACAGCGCCGCCTTCATTTACATCGACGCCGCCGCAGTATGTGGAGGCGAAGGAAGGGGGAAGCACCCTGCTTAGCTGCTCTGCACAGGGAAACCCAAAACCAATGATCAGCTGGCTGAGAGAGGGGGAGGAGCTAGCAACCAACGCTAAATATTCAGTAAGGAAATTTAATTACCTAAAAACAAAAGATTAATGATTGTGCACAAAAATAGAGGAAGGGATTTGTGCACAGATGGTGTCATCCACCGAGCCCACCTGTACAGAAAGTGTGGTTCATGTCTCATGGGGGCTAATATCCATTTATTCTGTGGTTTTGATGGAGGGACATATTATGAAAATCAGACTTTTTGCATCTACTGCCTCTATAAACACTCTAGCATACAACCCTCTCTCACCTGTCAAGTCGCCACCTGCCGAAAGTGCTGAGGATCTGACATTTTTGTTTACAGAGAGAAAAAGAGGCTCTTTTGGAGGGACTGCGTTTCTCGGCTGAGGTCTCGGTTAAAGTTGAGATTGGACATTACACAGCTGGTTTAACCAGAAAACCTCTTCTGACTGAGGGAGATGGATTAAGGATGATGCAAAGGAGCTATGGGTGACCTGACGTTATCAAAAGTGCAGAGAATAAATCCCCCCACTTGCAACTCAGAGAGAGTGGGCATGAGTATTTGAAGTCCAGGGAACTTTGAAAATGAAAATAAAATAATATGCTCAAAAAAGTTGATTTTGTATGATATCGGTCATTTAAAACTGCTTCAGCGAATCTACAAAACAAGCTAGGTTTTAAATGCAAACAGAGCCACGAAACACTCACCCCTCCCCTCCCCTCGGGTATGTTCCCTGAGACGCTTCTGCCAGAACTGGAGACCTGCGATGCCAGAGGACACAAGATAGCGCTAAACATCGGTCACTGTAGTTTTGGTCCAAACGTCTTTTGTTGTCCGTGACTTAAAATAGTGTTTTTCTTTTTGGGACTCTGGTAGTTTGTCCTGACGTTGAAGTGGTAGCAGCCGGCTGTTTCTCCTTCTCTGATATTATTGAGCGGAGAACCTCTCACACCATTGGTGTTCTGTTGCTAAATACGTGAGTGTGTTATGAGTGGAGGGAAGTGTGGAAGTGCTGCAGTTGAGTGAGACCAACAGCCAAAAGGTCCAATAGTTGCTTTTGGTTCTAAAGCAACTATTGGCAAAGGTTTTTAGATAAATGCGAGAAAAGCACTTAATTTAATTTAATTTAATTTACCCACGACCCTGCGTGGACAAAGCGGGTTCAGAAAATGGATGCATGGATTAATTTAATTTAATTAGTTTATTTTATTTTATGTTATTTTATTTTATTTCAAATCCCCACAATATATTAATAGATACACAATGTTAGAACGTTGTTAAAAGGCATACAAAAAAAACGTTTTAAGTTCATTTGATTTGCAAATTTTCTATTGCAGCTTTAAGGTGACAGAGCTCTGAAACGGCTCATTCTGGAAGGTATTGAAAATGTAAAGAATAAAACTGGCTGCTGTATGTGAGAGCAATTTTGTGCGTGTTTTGTTTCGACTATAAAGCTTTTCTAACCTTAAATAAAATGTCACAATATGTCACCTTTAAATAAAAGATTATTTGATCCAAAAACCTCACTAATAAACCAGACATTTTCTTCAAATGGATTTTTGTTTACATTCATTGCACTAGAAGCTGCACATATTTACTCAAATGTGACTCCAGTTTAATATTTAATTAGAAAAAAAATACGTTCTGTTGGCACTGCGCCTCGCATTTCTCAACCCTCTTTGTCTCGTGAAGCTTGATTTCTTTCTTTTTTCTAAAACTCGTCTGATGTCATGACGAGATATTTCTGGCACAGCTTCACTGTGATTGGAAAGCAGCAAAGTGTCTCAGGATCACGCCACAGCATCAATAAACATCAGGCTGGTGCGGCGCCGGTGTTACAGAATCAAAGATGAAGTTTTTTTTTACATCCACATGACTCAGGAAGTGCAAAAGCTGTAATGTGGGATGATGCACTCCAGGCGCATGATGATGCATCTTAAATCAAAAGGTGCAAACTTCACTTTGCTTTTTCCATAGGATTTCTCGCACTTGTTTAAATGATGCATTTCTTAAAACAGCTGCTGGATCAGAGCATCTTAGAGGAGCCATTTTTATTCCACTGCTTGTTAAGTGTCTTTGAATTTCTTTAAAAGTGCCTGGGTTTTTTTTTCTTTTCTACATGGTGTTGCTTTCTCATATGCCACTGATTTTACAGTCTGCTGCAGGCGCTATCGAGCCTTCACAGCTCCCTGTGTGATCGACTGCAGAAGAAGTGACAGGAGCATGCAGGCAGTGTCTGTTGAGGGCCTCGATCCCTTTCACTTTCATTTCGCTGCTCCGCCATCCCCTTAGTTATATGATTAGACATAATTCTGATGCATAATTAATCAGTTATTTCTGCATCAATATTACATTATATAAAAAAAGAATGTTGCACTAAAAGGACAGAAACCTCCTCTGAGGCTTCCCTTTCTCCGTGCAGCTCCCTTTAAATTTGGGTGAGCTCTGTTTTTCCTGTGAAAGTGAGCATGGGAGTATATTTGCTCATCCACAAAGTCGGATCCATGGAGACACGGTGAAGAAAGACTGGAATGTGACATGAAGTCCTCCTCATCTTCCTCTTGTCTCTCTTTGCTTCTCTTTATTGCTTTACTCGGTAAAAAGAGAGTTTGACGCGGCAGGGACGGACGCCACGCCGGGATAAAGTCTTATAGAAACAGAAATAAAAAGGAAGAGCAGGAGAACAGCAGCAGCTTCCGTCTATATCAGAACTCAGTGTTGATCTCGGACGTGTCAGCCAAGTGAAAGTGACAGGAATTGAGATTCTGCATCACATCAGGGTGCAAACTGCAGGCTCCTTCTTCCTTTTCATTCTCACCTTAGCCTGAGTTCGTCTGTTACCCAGAAACTGTTAAAATGTGCTGATTATTGCCCTTATATTTATAAAAAAACTCACTTGCTTCAAAATACGTGAGAAATGCAGTTTTTATTCAAGTTTGAACAATTTCTGTTGTGATTCCAATTCATAACTCCTACAGCCGAGATGTGCAGCTCAATATGGAATAAAACAGAAAAGTTGAAATATGATAAATGATAAATGACCCGCACTTGTATAGCGCCTTTTAAAGTCAGAGGACTCCTATGTGCTTTACACTACAGTGCATCATTCACCCATTCACCCACACATTCACACACTGATGTGATATATAAACACCAGACCCCTCACTTGCTCTATAATAATATTCAAGGCATAGGTTTTCATTTTTGACAGTAAATGTTTGTTTCCTTTTGTCAACTAATCCGTGTCTTTGTATACGTGCCTATGTACAACAGGTATCTAGTTACCATAGTGACTCAGTGAGCCACTGGCTGCATCTTTAACATTTATTTTCGATATGTGTTCTTGTTGTGCTTCTTATAATGTTTAGGTGTGCAGATTAGATTATTTCAAACATAATTTCATAATTTACATCTATCTCCTGCATTAGCTTCCGATAGAAAATAGCCAGTAAAACACTAAGATTTGAAACGGCTTTTACAGCAGAGAACTTCTTGACTATTATAAGCTAACCATTAGCATTAGTAACTCCACCACACAGCAGAACTCCTTCCAGGCTTGTGTCATTTATGGAGATTAAACATCAACGTGGTCATCCAATCCGAGGCGAGATGTCCAAATATCAGGAAATAAGACTCCGTAACCTGCCATCTGAAGCTCAGCTGTGGTGTGGCTCTCTTCTAGCTCCTGGAAATGCTGCACCCCTCTCCCCCGCAAGATTGACTACTAGGGACCACTGCAAGACCTTTATTAGATGATTTTGGTTTAATAACCCAGCTGACTTTTTCCTTTACATGCTTATGGAAATATCAAGATGAGAAATTTGTCAGTGCAGTTGGTGTGAAGCCCCATTCCCATTCAGGAAAAAATGTATGCAAACAAAAAGAGAAGAATTTGTTTTTCTCAACTGCCTTTTTTTCTTTTTTATATTCAGAAAATTCAGAACATTGCTGAGAATCCCTTTATTAAAGAGACAATGTGTAGTTTTTTTTTACCATACATTTCTATAAATATCCATCAAAATGTTGTTGAAAATGAATGAAATGATGCCCGGCTGTTGAAAAATATTGGCGGCTTCATAACCTATAACCATAAAAACCAGGTCTAAAATACACAGGAGCGGGTCTACGGGTGTTTCTCAATGTCAAGGCGCCTGGCCTTGCGAGCTGATGTCTTGCGAGGCCAGGCGCCTTACTTATGAGGACGCTGTCCTTCCTTGGTCAAAGAAAACGGTTAAATGGAACAGACTTGCATCACATGACCGCGGCTTCCACGGCGGTCACGTAACGTCACGTGACATGGGAGACAACAGTATATTTTATACGTATTAGTTTCAATATAAATATATAACAAGCCTTTTACTTTTGAAATTGTGTGTATGTTTATTCAATAAAACATATAAGTGAGTTACTACCCGCTAGCCACCGGAGCTGCAACTAGTAAGCAACTAACCAACAATAGATAACTTCTTTGGATCTAAAAAAAAAAAATGAATTAGTTGACTTACTTTTAAACTTGAAAATTGTCACTGAAGTAGCTGCCGGCTTCTGATCCGCCATCCTTTTGAAAATATTGCGATGTATTCTGGGTAATTTTTGACCAAGGCTATATTTATATTTATATTTATATTTATATTTATATTTATTCACTTAGCAGACGCTTTTATCCAAAGCGACTTACAATTTATAACCTATAGGGCATGTTGTGATCTGTGGGGGAAACCGGAGTACCTGGAGGAAACCCACGCATGCATGGGGAGAACACGCAACTCCACGTAGAAAGGCCACAGCCGAGTTTCGAACCTGCGACCTTCATGCTGCGAGGCAACAGTGCTAACCACTGCGTCACCATGCAGGCTAGGCTACAAGACACCTCCTGTGTATGCTCGCTCAGCTAGCTAAATGGCTATCAAATGGAGAACACACGCCTCGGTAGAACATGGACATTGGAATAGATCTTGGTGGCTCCCGATGACGTATCTCCTTGGCAACCGGGGCGGGGGCAAGACATCAAGGCAAGGTTCCTTGGTGTTGAAACACCCTAAGTCTCAGGGCGACGCCATATTAGATGCCATGTTTCCTTCTATGGGATCCATGAGGACAAAATGCGTTTACTGATTTGTGACAAACTGTTTCAAAACTTTCGCCATTCTTAAATGTTGTTTCACACATTTACCTGGATGAAAGGGAGTATGACGTGCTTGTCATTTTGCTAAAGTTTGCACTCCCCAGGGCTTTTTGACCCTAATGGGCATCCGTTGGTAAGGTCTTACTCCAACACAAAAATACTGCTTGCTTGCAATGATTTAGGTATCTACTGCCCCCTATTGCCAGGAAAAACACATACTGCCACTTTAAGGTTACTTAGTGCATTATTAATCATAAATAAACAGTTTAATTATATGAGCGACTGCTTAGTCACATTATGTGATGCATTACTAAGCAGACACACACCCTTGCCCTTTGCCCTAATCTTAAGGACATTTCATACTTAACATTAATGATAACGCTAATAAAGGGACCCTTATTGTAAAGTGTTATCCATTAATTCTGAAACCTGATGCTAGAGTTGGAGCTGATCTTTAAGTCACACAGACATCAATGACCAACATCGCACGCTAATCAGGCGTTAACTTTCTAATTAAAATACATGTCTTTTTTTTAATCTTTTTTTAACTTATTGCACAAGCTCAAAGGGATTTTTCACAACTGATGAGTTCACACTCCCAGCACCCAGCATGTCACTTGTGCTGCTTGTTTATTGCAGTGAAACACAAAGTGTTATCTTGTGATAGATACAGTTTGCCAACAGACTTGCACAAGTTAAAAGCTTCTTTAGTTTGTCTAACAGTAGCAGCTCTTGGCTCTTGAACATTTGTGAGACAGATAAACAGAAGTAAATTGTGCAGGCGCAGCAGATTCCCTCTCAGCTGTGTGAATGGACAGACTACAGCTGTGTGTGACTTGAATGGACAGAGCCACTCGCGACCTGTTGCATAATTTATGAGGGCTCGTTTCATGTGTTTCTTCATCGTGTCTTCTTGTGGGTCTCTGCAAAGAGGGACGTTTCCAGGGTGACTAAATGCACGGATCAGACCGTGAGTTGATTAACCCTTACCCAACGTTTAAATTTTCTAACGTTAAAGTCATAAGAGCACAAAAAAATGCTCGAATGTGAGGTAAGGGTTAAAGAATGACATAATCATGGTTTGATTAACAGTTTAATTAGATTTTATTTGGTTTTTAATTCATTCTCATCACAAACTAAAAAAGCATTATAAGACTAATCTAAAGGGGTGTAGTGATTTCACGAATCCCCACAAAACATGCAGAACAGACTTTTTTCACAAAAAACACAAACTGCTAGAAATAGTAAAAACAGGTTATTTTTTATATTTATGACAGAAGCTCCACTTTCACTCAGTGAAGAATGAACTCGAAGACATAACAAGGAGCTCCGCAGAGGGGTGACAAACTTTAAAATCACTATTGGCCATCTCATATTTGCTGAGGGAGCTGAGACATTTATCAGGCTTTTAAGATGAGTTAAATCTGCTTGGAATCTGTTCCGAGCAAACAGGTTTAAAGCATTTTAGACAACCTTGCTTTACAATCTGCAAGGACACAATTTTGACTTCCTCTATTCATTACTTATATGTTTCAAATGAATGGGAATTTAAAAAATCCTGCAATTGTTCCTTAGCTGCCATCTCATTACATTATGATACATCATGCTACATCAGGTTACGTCAAGTTAGGCTTTGCTGCACTATGTTACTCAATGTTACATTATGTTATGTTACATAATGCAACGTTTCATTACCCTCTGTTACATTATGCCATGTTAAGTTACGATGCACTGTAATGTTTCACTGTGATGTTTCGTTAAGCTATGGTAAATGTCCTGTCCTTATAGGGTTCTACAATACAGTCAGTCATACACCAATACACACACCCATTCACACTCTGCTAATGATGAGCTACAATGTAGCCACAGCTGCCCTAGGGCAAACTGATTAGAGGCAATGCTTGACATACATTCATGCCACCGGTCCCTCCGACCACCACCAGCAGGCAAGCAGGGTTAAGTGTCTTGCCCATGGACAGCAGCATTCTCTGGCAGGAGCCAGGATTGAGCATACAACCTTCTGATTACTGGATGGCCCGGTCTACCGCCTGAGCTACTACTGCCTTGTTTTATTGTATTACATTACTATATGTTACATCATGCTGTTATCTCATGCAACGTTACGCTGTTTTGTATTACTTACCTTACTTGTCCTCGCTATGTTATCTTTCATTATTCGATTTTAGTGAAGAAATGTGATGTTACCTCGCGCAAAGTTACATTACACGTTATGTTATCTCATGTCATGTCATGCCATGCCATGCTATGCTATGCTATCTCATGTCATGTCATGTCATGTCATTCTATGCCATGCCATGCCACTTCACGCCACGCCACGTCACATCACGTCACGTCACGCCACGTCATGCTATTCTATGCCATGCCATGCCACTTCACGCCACGCCACGTCACGTCACGTCACGTCATGCTATTCTATGCTATGGCTTGCCATGCTACGCCACACCACATCACGCCATGCCACGTCACGTCATGCTATTCTATGCTATGCTATGCTATGTTATGTTATCTCATGCCATGTCATTCTACACTATGCCATGCCACGCCACGCCACGTCACTTCATGCTACGCTATGCTATGCTATGCTATGTTATCTCATGCCATGTCATTCTACACTATGCCATGCCACGCCACGCCACGTCACATCATGCTATGCTATGCTATGCTATGCTATGCTATGTTATCTCATGTCATGTCATCATGCTATGCTATGCTATGTTATGTTATCTCATGTCATGTTATGTCGTGTGGTGTGGTGTGGTGTCCTGTCCTGTCGTGTCATGTTATGTAATGTTATTTCATGTCACGTCATGTCGTGGCGTGTCGTGGTATGTTATGTTATGTTAAATAATGCCATGTAAAATTACTCTGTTACATTATGCTGCTATGGTATGCTATGTTACGTTACTCTATGTCACACCTTACTATGCCACGTTGCACTATGTTGTTATTTGATGTAACATAATGCCTAGTTACAGTATGTTAGGTTGATGATGATTTTGTTTAAATATTAGCAGCAACAACCAGTGTAAAATGCACTTGATACATAACAAATCGGTTAAAACTGTAATTACAATGCAAATTTTACATGTATGTGTCCGTTTAGAGGAAAGAACTTTGGAATGACTTTTATTTGATGCTGCTGATTATTTTAATCAATATTCTGATGTAATATTTTTTTTAAAAGCCCAAAAACAAACTGATTGTGTTTTCTGATGTTCTACTGGGTTTGACATCTCTGCTGTATTCGATTTTAAGCGATATTAAATGAAAATCTGAATCAGGAAAATTGTAAACTGACAAATACCTAGAGTGAATCTTTGCCAATTTTGAAAACAAATGACCTAAAACAGTCCGTCAGTCATCTTGAGTTAGTCACGTCTCTTGGATGATTTACACCACAGGTGCACGATGGCAGTCTAACCGTTCTTGGCATCACCAGAGATGACAGAGGGGCGTACACTTGCAGAGCGTACAGCGACCAGGGAGAGGTGCTTCACACGACCCGTCTGCTTGTTCAAGGTAATCTTTCATCTGAGCTTCCATACTGTCCGGTTGTTTTTAAACTCAAACATGTTTCTTGCTCTCTCTCTCTCTCTCTCGTCCACGTTGTGAGCTTGAGCCGATCTGAAGGCAAAGCAGCACAGCTCTCCAGTGTGCTGATGTGTGTAACGCACCTTGTGGGGCTGTATCAGCTCAGTCCAATATTTCATTCTGGAGTCTCTCTATGGGAACGTGTACGTACAACAGGGTCTGACTGCCTGTCTCCGGTCTAGGGCTGCACAATATATCGTAAATAAATCGTTATCGCGATATCAGCATGCACAATATGCATATCGCAAAGAAGAGAAAAATATCGCAATGAATGGCCAGCTCAAATGCATTCTGTCAAACAAATGGAAGCATTTTGTCTTTTTTAACAAATCAAATAGACCTCTTCAACCATTTGGCCAATTGGGTGGGTTCTCATAGGTTAGATGCCCGCCCCCGAGGCAGACGGCACTTAATTTTGATGGTTGGCAAACACCTGAGTTAGCTTTGTTCTGCTCTTTCTGCTGATTCTGCTTTTCCCGGGATCCACTGATTACCTTTTCTTGTTCACTTTCTTTTTCCCTTTCCTCACATCTTTTGCTTTTCTCATTTTTATGATTTTTTTTTCTTTGTTTTTGATAATTTTTGTTCCTGAGTAAAGTTTTTATTTATCACAAGTAATATCGTCATCGCAATAGTAATCATTGTTATCGAATATCGCAGGTTTTCCTAATATCGTGCAGCCCTACTCCGGTCCATTAAGCATGCTCTCTCTGTTAGACCCAGATCAGATTGATGGTGGTGATACCAGCCTCCAGGTCTTCTCTGTCTCCTGATGCAGCAGGGCTTCAGGGAGTTAGCTGTGCGTTTAACTGAGCATCTTGCTCTTATAGCATCAAGTTGGTTTTAATGTTTATGTATTTAGCAGACGCTTTTGTCCAAAGCGACTTACAAGTGATAATCGGCATATTACCCTTGAGGCTAACAACAACAATAACAACAACTTGACATCAATCATGGAGAGGAGGGAACAAAGGAGTGGACGGTAGAGAGGGGGGACGGGTGCAGGGAGGGTGCTAGTTAAGAAGATGCTCTCTGAAGAGCAGGGTCTTCAGGAGTTTCTTGAAAATTGAAAAGGAAGCCCCTGTTCTGGTAGTGCTTGGTAGGTCATTCCACATTTGTGGAACGATGCATGAGAAGAGTCTGGATTGTCCTGAGCGTGGTGTAGGCACTGCTAGCCGACGATCCTGTGATGACCGGAGCGGCCGGGCCGAGACGTAAGCCTTTGCTAGAGGATTCAGGTAGATGGGAGCCGTACCATCTCAGACTTTGTATGCTAGTGTTAGCAATTTGAATTTGATGCGTGCTGCTAGCAGTAGCCAGTGGAGCTCAATGAGCAGAGGGGTGATGTGTGCTCTTTTTGCCTGATTGAAGACCAGACGCGCCGCTGCGTTCTGGACCATTTGAAGAGGTTTCACAGTACAGCCTGGAAGACCAGTTAGAAGGGCGTTGCAGTAATCGAGGCGGGAGATGACAGTAGATTGCACCAGGAGCTGGGTGCAATGCTTGATTTCTGTTGAAATTAAAGAGTCGGACAATTTTATTACAAAGAGTACTCGTCAAGCAGTTCGGATTCAAAGTTATTTCTCCAAACTGAGGTCTTTTAGAGAGCTTTCCAGTGCAATTTTATAAAAGTTACGAAAATGATCTTCGGGATAGTAAGACGACCTGTTCTGTGCACATCTAAGTTGTGTAATATTTATTTAACCTGCAGGTAATGAGCTAATATATGATGTCATATTGTTTCAGGTTGTGCCAATAGGGGTAACAAAGTTTTTGAAACTTTAGAATTTTATTATGTAATAAATATATCATTAAAATCAATATTTAACATTAAAACAGGTGTGATTAGGCCAGGGGTTGCACCATTGTCTCTTACAGTCCTTTCAAATATCTAACTACCAGCTTTATGAACATGAATATTCTTGATTTTAGTGTAAATTGGCAGAAACAGCTATAAAATGTTCATTATTTTAGTATTTGCAAACAACAAACTGGTGTTAATCGTCATAAGAGTAAGATATAAAATGGTAGCATGAAGATAAACTCCAACAAATAATCTTTAATCTCAGTCATCACCTAAGATTTCATAATGGTGATGGCCCTCGAAACAATAATCAGCTACGTAATAATCTTAGCCCCCTAAAAAAATCAAATCAACTTGAAAAGCAAATTAAATAGTATAAAAAAAAACAGACGTCGGTTCTAAAATTCTGCTCTGGATGTATTAAAAAACATTCAAATCAGCTTTAAGAACTGAATTTGGAGCCACTAAACCAGCTAAATAAATATCTGCAATGATTTACTGTTTATTTAGACATTTTTCACGAAAATGAGACAGAAATTTTACCAAATGAGGATTTTAAACTGTGCAGCCAGGGAACGCCGGGTTTATTTGTCCTTAATTGTCGTCCTCTCTCAACAGCCGTGTGAGGCGCTCGTGTTTAATCTGAGTAACCCTGACTTCCTGTTAACCTCTGTCATATTAATATCAGATTAATAACAGATGGACGGTAAATAAAACTGTTCTCTCCAGAGTGTGGTCCAGCATGATGAGAAACGCAGCCTGAAATAGGATCATGGCACCAGAAATCCGAAGCAGGGATGAGAGGATTCTCACTGCGGCGATCTGGATTATATTGTTTTGTGTAACGCCTTTGCAGCGCTCCCAGCCGTCTCAGCTGATGCGTGAAGCTGCGCGGAACAAAAACGAGAGGTTTGGGCCTGGCCTTGCTCATAAAAGACAGCTTACCTTTCATGGCTTCTGCTGTTTAACTGAGAGTTCAGAGGGAACCTCACGACGCTCTCGGAACAGAGGGCTAACAATGTGAAGCACGCGGGAGCTTAGTGATTTTTGCACCAGACTGGGGTGTGATACTGTAAATAGTGAGTAGAGTGTGTGTGTGTTTTATCACCCTGATCTCTTACAGGAAGAAAAAGGTGACACTTTGAAAGTGGAAGAAGTGGACGACTGAGTGGAGTGCAGATTGGTTTTAATATAATTCTTCTATTTTTATTATTATTATTTTAACCAGAGATGTTAAAACCTCCAAACATTGTAATGTCAATATTACAATGTTAAGTAATTTAAAGAGCGAGTCACCCCCAACCGTCACTGTCGCGCCCTCTTCAGGTTAAAGCTCTGCACCATAATAACGGGGGCTTGAGCGTGAGACACAAGCCTCTGACCCTGTTCACACGCCACACCTCCAGCAACTCCGGCTGAAGAACTAGCCCCCACCATGGACGTAGTTTGGGGGGGGGGGCACTTTTTTCAAAGTAATTTTTTGTCCCCTGCACTTTTTACTGTTCAAAACAAAATTACGCTATATTAAAAAGACACTGGTTGAGCACTAGGACCAAGCGGAAAACAACCGCTTGTGTTGAGGCCTGTTTCCCATTAGAACAATCCATACGCTCTTCTATTGGCTCTGCTGATGCTTGCTAATGTGTGATTGGCCCTTCCTGCCACCTGTGCACTTGACAGTTCTGCATTCCTGTCATTGCATAAAAGAACCTCCAGGCTGTAGTTTTTTTTTTTTTTTTAACATATTTTTTGTATAGTCAGAGGCGTAGCGGCCCACGCGCTGCTGAATATACGATCACTTGAATAATACGTCAGCATATTTATAATCAAGTAAAAGTAAAAAACTAGCCAACCGAAAACACTCCACTAACATAGGTTTTCATTTTTGGATGTGCCATAGTAATTATGGATGGGCTTTAATTAAACAAGGTAATATCTAAGCAGGTCCAGGAACAATGCCTACATTCAGAGGGAGCGATAGATATTTTTGTTGTCATTTTGACTGACAGTTTAAATAACGGTCGCGATCGTTTTCCTTGCCATTTTAATTTCTAAAAGTAAAATAATAATAGTAAAATTTCACAATTAAAATTTCATTAATATTTAGTCTAAACAGGCTGACCAGCACGTCCTGCAACATATTAATGTTACAATTAAACAATTTCACCTAAGGTAGGAAAATTTCACCTGCCGTGGCCCAAACGCACTCCCTCCTTCTGCTCCGCGTAAACCTGAACAAGTCACCTGCTTGTGTAATCATATGTCTCTTTAGGTTTGCTAAAGAGGCTATGTGAGGTTCTGGACTATTGCTTCAGACAGACTCATGGGTGTTTTAATATTCTAGAGGCTGAATGTGCACTACAGACTGGAACAAGCACTATTCAGCCAAAGTTATGCAGTCAGGAACCATCTCTCCAAGTGACAAGTCCCCCTGACAGAAAGACAGACAGATGGAAAGCACTTGCTTCAGTTGGAGCATGCGCTCTTGTGGTTCTGCTGCTGGACTGTGACCCACAGACGTGCTCCGAGCTGCCCTGCGATAGTGCTCAGATGTTCTAATGGGAATCTTTTCTTGATTCATTTAGTTACCTCTGCGATGTTCTCTCTGAGTAACGTTTAAAATGTCTGCACACCTGCTTGCATCGGGGTAATTCCAGTCTGTCAAAATGACCAACAGAATTATTTCCGGTCAAATACAAAAAATATCTGGTTTACTTTTTTACTTTCTTGTGACGATAGTTCACAAAGCTGTACAGAAACTATTAAACTTGACCAACATCAGTGAGGCGCACTGCGCCCTTAATCTGTAACTGTGAATAGGATCATCAAATCATTTCAGGCACAGATGCTACACCGTATGTCATTATCAAATTTTTGCTTCTTGTAATTGTGTGACCTGGCACAGCAGCATGAGTGTACATTTTCTGCAGGTTTATCAGCTCACAACACACGAAGCGACCGATGCTTCCATTGTTTATACTCTCATCTATCCCACGATGCAACGCTACAGCACCCGATACGTCATCTGACAGAGACCGATGACCGATTACAGATAACAAAAGGTCTCATTCATAGAAAAGTTCATAAGTTGGCAGCCCTGTATTGAATTTGAATCAGCCTTCACTATGGGCTAAGAGGTACCCTGTGACGCTAGCCAGTACCAGATAGCATATGTAATCTGCACTGCCATTGTTGGGTATAAAAGCAGCCGAGTCTCGGGTGCTGCTGCTCCGTTGCAGTTGGAATAGCAAGCGGGTGTTTATGGCCCTGCATGAGTGGCGCTGGTGGACTCGGTCAACTAACTCAAAATCCCTGCCTTATGCACTGCCTCACGCCCTGTCTCAGAACCTTTATCATGCCACTCATTCCGCCGGCAATCCACTAGCCCAAACTACAACACCCTTCATCCCACCAACCAGGACGCTGCCTCTACTTCATCACGCTATTCTATAAACAGAAGTCAAGATCTTCCACCTCCACTCAGTCATCGTTTCACTCTGAAAAATGTCTCCAGTTCAGAGCCTCCAAGTTCCATTTACCAACTTCCTTCTACCACAGGGGTGTCAAACTCAAACTCACACGGGGCCCAAATGAAACTCTGGGACGGAGTCGAGGGCCAAACTTAATATTTTTTTTAAAAGTGACGGCAAATTTGTACATTTTCTTTATCAACATATATGCAATTTTGAACCTTTAAATTTGGAAACAAACTTATTTCTGCAGTAACACTGAATGTGGAATAACCAAATTACACACGAGCAAGTCAGTTTTAAATAAAAGGCATCAGTGGTATTCATTACTTGTGGTATAATCAGCATTTTTAAAATCTATTCAGGATTTATCTTTTCTTGTTTATTCATTTTTCTTATTTTTTATTCTCCTTTTTTTCTCCTGTAATAAGTGTCATCGCTGCTGTGACGTCTAGCTTTCCCCACTGAGGAACAATAAAGGGATTTTCTATTCTATTCATCTATCTGCAGCCTTTCCACTTCCTGTTTACTGTAGGTTAAATCTTTTCTCACGGGCCAACAACAAAATAAAAATATCATTTTATCTTAAATGAAAATGCAACATCTCACCTGTTAACTTGCATGTTTTGGAGCAGAAAAAGAACATAAAACCAACATATTTAAAGTTCAGTTTGCTCCACTGATTTACTGTGATGCTCACCTGTTCCAGCCAGATACCTGCATCATGGGGTTGATGTGAGCTGAGGAGGAGACTCCTGTTGTTTTGTTCATCTTCATCATAATAATGACAACATTAGATGACAACTGGTGCTCACATACGTTTGTGATGCTGAACATGTCTGAGCAGCTTGACCACGTTGTTGTGTGTCGGGGAGGAAAAATAAAAACTACAGCAGCCACAGAGTCATGCTGGTTTGAGCGTGTCGCTGTTCGCTGGAGTTATATCAGCTCTGTCTGGACGTTAGTTGGAAAACTTTCTCTTTCAGTCGTGAACACATTACTGAGCGGCTAGAATCTCCGTTTCTGGGCTTCAACGTCAGAAAACGCGTGAACTCGGCGCTGAGTGTAGTTTGTCCGAGACAGCGGAGCTGCACACCGGCAGCAGGCGCTGGGAAAAACATAAAGGAGGGGGCGCGTCGGCTCCGCGCTGACGCCGCAAAGCACCATGGGAGTTGAAGTCTTTGCGGTAAAATCGGCTAGCGGGCCAGTTTTAATATATTTTTGATATTTATCTCGCGGGCCACATAAAAATGCTCCGCGGGCCGCATCTGGCCCGCGGGCCTTGAGTCTGACATATGTGTTCTACCATATCAGCCTTTTTATCCTCTTGGAATGTCCCTACGATCCGGTTTTCCTTTGGGTCTTGTGCGAGTGCTCTGAGATCAAACAGCATGTAAGCTTCTTCCAACATTCGCATCTACACGTTTGAGTCAAACCACACTCCACAGCTCAACTCCCGGTTCACTCAGTTCAATCCGCTGTTCAGCCTGACAGTCACAAGCCATCGATTTAACATGATACGGCATAGAGCCGCTCGTCGCCTCCAAAACATCCTTCCTCCCTTCCCTCTGCTCTCTGGTTAAGGAGGTGGATAGATCAGGGAAGAATGTTGTTTATTTAGCATCCAGGAGAGAGCAGAGCACATCTTGGCTAGAAGAAGAAAACCGTTAGCATTAGCCAAAGAGCAAAAACTACTGATGTAGGATTGGATGAGTGTTAAATTCACCCTGAAAAACAAACAAAACAAACAATGCAACATTCTTGTTTGCTTTTTCTCCAGGACCTCCATACATCGTCTCACCGCCTGAAAACGTCACAGTAAACATATCACAGAATGCACTCTTCACCTGCCAAGCGGAGGCGTATCCTGGCAACCTGACCTACACCTGGTTTTGGGAAGAGGACAACGTCTACTTCAAGAAGTAAAGCTATAACCGTGTGTGCTTCTGTCCCGTTGCAGCGGGAGCTTAGCGTGGAGGTGTTCCTGTAAAGTTAGAACCCTCTGACATTTAAATCATCACTACGAAGGCAGAAGCGAAAAGCATGGTGTGTGTGTGTGTGTGTGTGTGTGTGTGTGTGTGAGAGAGAGAGAGAGGCGTATTGTGACTGGCTGTCTGAGGCTATTTGGAGTGTGTGCGCCTCGTCCCGCTGTGGCCCCAGAGGCATTTCCAGTCGGCCTGCTGGGGGTCTGTCTGGAGCATGTCGGGCGACTTAGTGTGCTCTGATGGCAACAGTATATGACTCAGGCCTGGTGTCATCTATATGGCTCATGCAGTGAAGAGCAGCTCAGACCTCCACAGGCTCCAGGGAGCTTTGTGTGACAGAACAAATGGGAGGAAGAAGCACGCAAATGGCACTTTGCTCCATTTATTTATTCATTCATTGGCACAGTCAGCAGTTCACAAAACTTGATTTAAAAGATTTTCAGCTTTTAAGTTTCAAAAGTCAGATCAGATCGCTTCAACTCACCGTATCTATTTGCTGATTAAAAATAAAGTTTATTCCTCAATTACTGAATGCGCCATAGCTAAAAGGCTCATTTATGCTAGTCACTTATGGTAGCCACTTATGCTAGCCATCTTTGACGTGATGTTTTTACTGAGTAAATTCAGCAAATTATTAAAATATTCAGAGCTAAAACCAGAGGAAAGTCCTCTAATGTGAAATACAGCAGTGTGTTTAAATGTCAGCTTTGCTGAGAAACTTATAACAATTGTTGATTTTGAAATAAGCTTGGTCACGACGAGTTTCACTCGAAGAAGTCAGCATTAGCTCGGGCTAGCACTTACAGTAGCTCGTGCTAGGGTTAGCTAGCAATATCTTAGACTAGTGTTAAGGCAAGGCCATTTAAAAAATTACAAACGTATAAAGGAACTTAAACTAGATTCAAACATAATATTATACTACTGATAGAAAGTAGAGAGGGAGCGCTCGGGTCAGAAAAAGCCACAAACAGATCTACGCCACAAATTAATGTTTGTACACCAAACCATCTTGGCTTATGATTGATAAAGACTTTTGTTGATTTAGTGGCAGGAGAGAGTGGAAAGTGTTTTGGCTAAAAGAAGCTAACTGTTAGCATGAACAACAACAGCACACGGTAGAACTTCAGGCTTGTGTTATTTTTGGCGATAAAACTAGCCTGGCAAGCCAGACTAAATAAATGTATTATTTAGTCTGGCAACGCTCCATTGACAGCTCTCGGTTGTGGGGCGGGATCTACCGTTGTCTTTCAAATGATCTCCGCATTCCACTGGACAATGAATGTGACATACTCTTGTTTCACTCTGTTGCGTCATCCCACCCACCAGGCATATAGAGTGCCCTGATTGGCCCACAAAGCGGATAAAGCTCTGTGATTTGTTCACTAAGCAGATAGAGCACTATGATTGGCCCACCATTATGGACCAATCACAGCTCTTTATGTGTTTGAAACCCCTCTAGAGAGCTGTGATTGGCTAGCCAGAGTCCTGGTAGGAGCTGCTGAGGTTCCAATGGAGCATGCCTAGACCATTCTTTGCAAAGCAAGAATTTGGTCTTGTTCACTAGGCTACGATAAAACATCAACGTTGCAGAACCGAGAGTCAAGCTGCTTTTAGCCAATCAGAGGAAAGATGTCCAAATATCATGAATATAATGAATAACATCAACAGACTACTCACAATTTTTTTTATTAGAGACCAAAGCAAGTTTATTGGAATGAGTGTATGTATGCCTGCTTAAAGAAAAAAAAACTATCTAGGATGGAGATTTCTCTTCTAGTTTTCAAATTTACCATCAAAATGTCAGGAATAGTCAGAATGTTGAGAAAGAAATTCCAAATATGTATTGACTAAAGTTAAAATGTTGAGGAAAACATTTTTTTAAATTGTACATATAGCCTTTGGAGAACTTTAAATAACTAAATAACGCCAAAACATTTTTTATGAATCAGTCTATTTTTACAGAACTTTCTCCAATCTTTCAAAATAAGAAACACATTTATCTGTAAAGTTCCTGCTGCAGCCTAAACTAATTTCAGGAGGTAATCGTGTACATTTTCAGAATAAATCACCTGCTGAAAGATGAGATTTTTTTGATTAAAACTGATTATGAATAAGTCACAGTGTATTCAGTGATTTTAAGAGCGGTGCATTTTCTTCAAAAACGTTACTTTGAATATTGTGACTTTATTCTAGAAATATCAAATACTGATTTGATTTCCTTCATACCAGTTCAATTAATGAATTTTTGCTGTTATTTGACTTTATTACATTAAATTTTTATTTTACTATTTCTGACTTTTTTTCTTCAAACTGGGAAACAAAAAAATACAACACCATTTTCTTTTTCATACGAGTGTCTGTTGTAAGAAGCTATGAGAAGGAATTTACATAGAAAATTTAAGAAATGATTGGTAGCTAATAGGGAGCCTAAGTCATGTCTATCTACTTTCGGACCACGGGACCCCAACTGCCAAAGAAAATAAATGGGAGTCTATGAGAGGATAAAAGTTATTTTCCGATTCTGTTTGATATGTGCCATGGGTTAACGTAAAAGACAGTGAAATTTAAAGACACATTTTGATGCCAAGAAAATGCTTATTTTCGAACGGCGGCAAAAGTTATTTTAGGTTTTGCGTGAAAAGACGTTTAAAACTACAAATGTTTGTCTCACCAAATTGATGTCATCGAACCAGACATGAAGAAGAGGAGACGAGAAATGGCTGGAACTTCAAATTCTTCTTTCAGGATGAAAAAAGGAGCATTAAACTTGAGAAAGCCACTATAGATCTGTAAGTAGCAGCGACTCCAGGGAGAAGAGATTCTGGGTGATGTCACATATGCAACGTCTGATTTGTAGTCATTTTATTCTGAATATTTAAAAGCTAATAAATCTCAAACTACATGACAAACATAGTCAAAACACACATCATTACTTTTCATTTAAAGTACAACAGATGTGTGATTCAGGGCGTAAGGCAAAGCAGACTAGGAAATATCTTTTATGGCTTTGTTCACTTACATTTTTTGTCCCAGGACCCATGACCTGACCAAAAGGGGAGGAGACTTAGGCTCCCTATGACTTTCTGTTGATTACACAGGATTTGCAGAGCTGGAGAAAGGAAAATCAATCTGTTTTACATCATTTTATTCCTTCAAAAATGACCCATTTTTAAGTTATTAAACAGTTTAAAACATTGACTGGAAACTCCAGTGCATCTAGAACTTGTAAAGAGATATTAGGAGCTGGAAAATTATTATTTTTAAAACAATCTTTTGTCTCATTTTCAAATGTTTGGTTTCGGGCTCGCTTTGTTTAAGTGATGTGTTTGTTATTAAAAGATGTGAAGCATGAAGCAGATTTTTTAAATCCATTGCTGTGTTCTCTCCTGTAAGGATCCCTTTTTATTTTGGCTGCTGTTTGACTCTCTGCTGCTCTCTTATGGCACTTTAATGCAAATTTAACACACAAAAAAAGAAAGAAAAAAAGATGTGTAAGTGTGTCCTGCTGCTTCACCGTTAAGCTGCAGATTTAAAACGTCTGCCTTCCTCTTCCCGCAGTGATCTGAAGCTCCGAGTGCGCATCCTCATCGACGGCGACGCTCATCATATTCCGGGTCAAGCCCGAGGATGCAGGGAAATACACCTGCAGTCCGAGCAATAGCCTCGGCATCTCGCCCTCGGCTTCAGCCTACCTGACTGTTCAGTGTGAGTGTTACTGTGGCAACCGAGCGGAGGGGGGAGGGGTGGGTAGAGTAAGCACTGTAGAGAGAACGGCAGCAGCAACGTGGAGGCTGTAGTTTTCGGCTGCTCCCCAACCGAAATGAGACGAAACCCTTTTTTAACTCAAAGCTTTGCGAGGGACCGTAGCTTTTATTTTAATGCACTTCTTTCCATTATTTTCATGTTACCTGTGCACAGAGCACACATCCTCAGATGCCATTACTCCAGTTTGGCCTGAAATGTTCACATTCCTCCAGATCAGCTGCCGCTGATGAGCGAGGATGCCACATCCTCAGCCTTCATGTTGTTTTGAGCTGATTAGCTTTCAGGCTGCTGCTGGTCATTGATCACTGAGAGAGAGAGAGAGAGAGAGAGAGAGAGAGAGAGAGAGAGAGAGAGGAGAGAGAGAGGAGAGAGAGAGAGAGAGAGAGAGAGAGAGAGAGAGAGAGAGAGAGAGAGAGAGAGAGAGAGAGAGAGAGAGAGAGAGAGAGAGAGAGAGAGAGAGAGAGAGAGAGAGAGAGAGAGAGAGAGAGAGAGAAGAGAGAGAGAGAGAGAGAGAGAGAGAGAGAGAGAGAGAGAGAGAGAGAGAGAGAGAGAGAGAGAGAGAGAGAGAGAGAGAGAGGAGAGAGAGAGAGAGAGAGAGAGAGAGAGAGAGAGAGAGAGAGAGAGAGAGAGAGAGAGAGAGAGAGAGAGAGAGAGAGAGAGAGAGAGAGAGAGAGAGAGAGAGAGAGAGAGAGAGAGAGAGAACTGCAGGCTTCACACACACACACACACACACCACAATGAAACCAGCATCCTGAGGTGCAACAATGAGAATGAACACTGGAAAATCATACAAATATGGAATCAGTGCTGCGACCTTGAGCTGATGTGAAACTGTCATAGCTTTGTAAAAACAGGCTTTATGTTCATGAAGCAACGTTTGTGTCCGACTTAGAAAGCCACGTTACACAGGCCACGAAGCTGCACCTCATCAGGCACATGCAGCGACTGCACTAAAAACTGTCCTGCTAGCTGTCACCTAATCTACCCATAATTCCCCCTTTCAGCACTTCTTTTATGTTCCCCCGCATGCTCGGAAAATTTATATCATCATT